TTCTCAATTGGTTGATTGTTTACTTAAATACAATATTAAAAATAAAATTGGGAAAAGGAAAACCGTGTTATTAAACTATGGCGGTGTCGTCACCGCAACTAAAACCCCAGTTTTGGCATTCGCCGTCGCCATAGAAGTCTCGCCTTTTCCCTGTCTCTCTCTGTTCGCTAAACCCTAACCTCGCCCATCCCAAACCTCATGCCGCCACGATGGCGATCGTGGCGGCTTCGGTCGCGGGTTTGGCCGTGGCCGGGGCGACCGGGGCCGTGTCGGGCGCCGCGGCGGTGGGCGGCGGCCGACGCAATGAGGAGGAGAAGTGGGTGCCGGTTGCCAAGCTTGGCCGTCTCGTGAAGGAGGGAAAGATTACCAACCTTTAGCAGATCCACCTCCACTCCCTTCCCGTTAAGGAGCATCAAATCATCGACACGCTCCTTGGTGGCCGAATCAAGGACGAGGTCATGAAGATTTTGCCCGTCTAGAAACAGAGGCGTTCCGACCAGCGCACCCGGTTCAAGGCTTTCGTTGTTGTTATTGACACCGACGGCCATGTTGGCCTCGGCGTCAAGTGCGCCAAGGAGGTCGCTACCGCCATCCGTGGTGCCATCATTCTTGCCAAGCTCTCGGTTATCCCTGTTAAAAGAGGCTACTGGGGATACAAGATCGGGAAGCCTCATACAGTGCCGTGCAAGGTCGCCGGAAAGTGTGGATCCGTGACCGTCCTGATGGTGCCTGCTCCGAAGGGGGCGGGGATTGTGGCTGCCCGTGTGCCAAAGAAGGTGCTTTAGTTTGCTGGGATCGAGGATGTGTTCACCTCATCGCGTGGGTCAACCAAGACTCTTGGGAACTTCGTGACGGTCAATTTTTCTTGTGGACTATTATTTACTTTATTTGAAGCGGTTGATTTCTATCGGTAATGAGAAAAAAGATGTGATTTTTCGTATCTTTACTTCTTTTAAACAATTGGCGATGTTAATTGCTGATCTAGGTCTATCTAGCATATGTCTCGTGATGACAGTTGAAAGGCTTTTCAATGTAGTTCTGGATCTTGATGATGATTTGTTACATACTAGCAACATGTAAATCTTTAACTTCAGTTCTGGTAGCATTTATATTATCTCAATTAGCTTCTGGTGACTGTATTTGAAAAGAATTACTACCTAGATGTCACATGATAATTTTGAATGAGCCATTTTTTTTCTTTGTAGATGCAATCAGTAACACATCAGGTTTTTGGCATAGATTTATGGCATTGAGCAGTTGCCATATCGTTTCTTATTGATATTTATTTCCTTGATGAGCAATGAACTTGTTATAACGGAACTGTTGATACTAAACATTAGAAAATGACAACTTTTTTATACTATTTGATTTGGCACTTCCAAATCTTCTAGATGGAAGCAAGATTAAAGTATGGTGGTGCCATTCCTTCTAAATTTTACCTGAACTCTTATCTACTGCTTGCATGCTACTTCTTGTTTCTTTATTTCTTACTACGGGTTATCCAAGTAAGAGAAACTCAAACAAGTTTTGTTCTGCTATTTTTGGATATGGAAAACTTTCTAGTTGTTTAGTTCTGCATGATTAAAGTATTAGTAGTCGTATTGTTAATTTCTGAGGGAAGGAAAGGAATTAGGAAAGAAAGGTAATTATTTTGATTAGTATGCTTAATTAGGAAATAGAGCACTGATTGTATGTAAAGATCCAACCACTCAGTCAAGTACTTGTCACTAGTTCAATTCAAGCTCTGCAGAGTAGGTGATCACACACTATTATTGGCTGAATCGACTAGCTTTAGCAAACTCAAATCAGGTCCCTTTTCACTGATCAACTAATTGGCGTCCAATCTGAATAAAAATATTTTATGACTCTATCTAACAACTGTATGGGGGGTTAGGAATACTTACTGTGGTGAATCAAGCACCATATGGGGGTTTGGAAATAGTTCATGGAAATTGTTGGTTCAGTGTGGATTTACATTTTTTTAATCATCCATCGGCTTAATATGTACTTTGTTCAAACTCATAAGTGAGACTTGTACTGATTAATGTCATTGAATTGCACCTAGGTGCAGACACACAAAGGTTGAATCTTGTGTGTTGCCTTGATTAAGTTTTCCCGGTCCTACCATGGTTCATGGAATTGGTTGGTCTTGATTAGATTCAATTGACCAGGATTGGTTATTCTGATTCTGATTTCCTCAATATTTCTGAGGTTCATTAGGATTGGCTTAAAGATTTGCTCTCTACCCCCAAAAAAAAATGTAAATTGAAAAAAAGAGAGGCTAAAATGGTTGTTATGGAGATTGGTAGTTTCTCTACCAACAGAGTTATGGAGACACAAAGAGGACTACTCCTTCCTGGTTAAATAAACTAGAAACCACCAGAAATGTCAGTGTGAAAGCTTTATTTTAGGTGATTGAGGATGTTCATTGCATATGATCTCCTGATGACTGTTGCAAGATAATGTATGCAGATGACTTGTTGTAGAGGCTTTTTTGGTTAGCTGTGAGATCACAAGGATTATATGCTGATAATTATGTTGGTAGTGAAAAACAGGAAATTTGATGACTTCTTATCTCTGTGCAGGCAACCTTTGAGTACCTAATGAAGACATATAGATTCCTGACACCTGACTTCTGGATGGACACTCGCTTTAGCAAATCCCCCTTCCAGGAGTACACTGACTTACGTGCAAAACCGACTAAGGCAATACTTCTTGACAACACCGAGAAGGATGAATCTTAGGATGATGCTTGGGAGTGAGTTCTTTCATAGCATTTACTTTGTGTTTTGTCACTTTGTTTAATTAGAACCTAGGTTGAGAACTTTTTCACAATGTTATTCTATGATGAATCCTGTCACCATAGTTTTAGTATTCCTGCTATGTGTTTTGCTTTTTCACTGTTGTACACATCAAGATGCAGTTAAACGAGACATGAGCATGAGGTGCTTTAATCAATAGATCAAGATCCTTAAATCATCTCGCAAATTTCTTGAATGGTGGTGTCATTCTTGATATGTTAAATTTCTTCAAGTATTATGTGCCTCAGAATATTCTTTCTTGAACATTGGTAGGATTGAAGTCTTGTGTGCCTCAAAATGACCCCATGAAGAGGGGCTTGCTCTGCTCTCATCCCCTTTCCTCTTCACCTCAAGCTCTTATTCCTTCTCCTTCACTTAAATCTCATCCTAAATTCTCTCAAATATCTTTGTAGAATCTCCCAAATTCAAGCAATCATTGAAGGGAAATTACTAGTATTTTCAAGAGAACATTGAAATTGAAAATCTGGTTAATTTTTCTCTAAAAATTAGATAAATTCGAGCATATTTGTGTTAATTTAATGACTTCAATTTGGATGCAATTAGATCAATATTAGAGTCATTTCTTGTTGTATCTTCTGTTTGCACTTGATTTATGACTGATTCACAAAAATCAAGTTTTGAGGAATTGAGATGTAAATCTTTGTAAATCTCTCATATTTTAGTAAAAAGGTGGGCAGATAAGCTACACCTTTTTATGATGGTTCTGGATGCTGGGCTGCTTCTATGCATTCAGACATGTGATCTCCCTCTCTCTCTCTTTGTTACCCCAATGTACTAAAAAGAAGAAAAAATAATAATAATAATAATAATAAACAACCGATATTTTTGAAGTCAATCTATAATGAAAACAATGAGGGTGCTCTTTTGCGATCTAGATGACCAAAGCTTATGAAAATAGCTGTATTTTTTTGTTGGAAAAGTGTGCGTAAATTGATCTTCCTATAACTATAAGGGTGCTCTTTTGCGATCTGGATGGCAAGAGCTTAGTCTTTGTGTTATGAAAACATGTGTATATTGACTATCCTAGATTAGAAAAAATTATTGATAACACTGTACTTGTAGTGGTAAGGCTTGGTATATTGATCTTCTTTTATCTCCATGGTGATAAGGCTGTGTATATTTATTTGTTGGAGGAAGTCTCATGCATTGAATTTATACTTTATGATTGAAAAATAATAAAAATGTAATACTAAAACTAGAACTTAGGGAACTAATGTTGACAACATTGTCTGTCCTGGTCCACAAATTAAGTATTTATTAGTGCATTGCCTTTGAAAGATAAGCAATGTGTTGTGACAAGCAGGTAAGAAAAGGGCAATTCCTGTGCTGCTCACAATCTCTCTCCTCACAAGTAGCAGACTTAATCTCAATTCTTAACATGGGATTAAAGCCCATAGCAGATTACTCAATTCCAAGTACTTCAAAACTTCTAGCAATTAGAACAGGACTAAATTGACACGATAGAGATTCACATACATATCCTGCAATTAATCACAATTTGACAGATAGTGCATACAGTTTGTAATAATACATTTACAGAGAGGAGTGGTGAAATGAAGCTGGGAGACTATATATGCCCACCCACTGGTAGCAGACTTCCACTGGTCCACATACTCTTGGAAACAAACAACCAAATTGGAACCACCACTACACAAAAAATACACCTGAAATGTTAGAACCAAGCACATGCACTTGAGCTCTGTCAGCTTATTTTCCTCTTCTTGCTTGTCTCCCTCATCCTCTTCTCTCCCAGTCTTTCCTCCATTTTCCTGATGAGGTCTTCTGCATTGTCTGCTGAAACTACAATCTGACTTGCTGAGTCTTCTATGAAGCCTTCCTCCACTCCCTTCTTGAATAATGCAAGCAAATCATTGTAGTACCCATCCACATTCAGTATCCCAACCTGTACAAAACAAGCAAAACCCACAGAATTTGGTGCAGACTAAGAGGAAGAATGAGTAGTTGTAGTAGTAGTAGTAGTAGTAGTACTCACTGGTTTGCCATGGATGCCAAGCTGAGACCAAGCTACCATCTCAAGAAGTTCCTCCATGGTTCCATAACCACCTAAAGAGGTCAATGTTGAGAAATAGAGTTAGTCTCAAGTGTTAGCAACTTGAGCACTGGAATGGTTCACTTGGGTTTCACCTGGAAGCGCGATAAATGCGTCAGCATTTTTAGCCATTTCTGACTTCCTCTCATGCATGTCTGCAACTGTTTTCACCTCTCCAATGGTTTCTCCTGATATCTGCACACTTTCTCTGCTTAGTTGCTTGTAGGAAGAAACACAAACTATTTGAACACTTGAAGGCTTACAAAACAAGATAGATGAGTTGGAACTGCACCTCACTTGGCAAGAGGGCAGTAGGAATGACCCTGTAATTGAGTGAAGTATGAGTGTGTACCAAAATGCATGCAAGTCAGTTAAACAAAGAAAAGAAAGTTAGCGGAGTTCTTACCCGAGAACATTGCAGCCACCATCAAAGACTGTTTTAGATATCAACCCCATTAGGCCGACACTTCCACCACCATAAACCAGGTCTATTTTCCTCTCTACCTGAAATGAAAGAGGAATCAAGGTCATCAAGTATTGGCACAGAAAAGGAGACAAGCACAAGAAACAAAATCCAGAGCAGATCTTTCTTCATAAATATTCTCCTTAGGACAGAATGAATATTCTCAGTGTCATCCTGAAAAGAGAAATTAAGTACATATGCTTCTGCTAGTTGTCTCATCTCATGTTCTTGGTGGTGTCTTAAGAAGAGTTGAAACTTGGATTGATTCCTCACCAGTTTCTTTCCAAGGTCAAGAGCTGCTTCACTGAAGGAAGTCCTGTTTCCGTGCCTGCTCCCGCAGAAAACACATATGCTCCTGAACCTCCCTTTGTTTCCTCCTCCCACTGCATTCTGCTGGCTTGCTTCCATCCCCTCAAGAATGAGAGTCCCAAGGGGAAGAAGCAATGAACACAAACTAGCAGACAGTTTTGAGAATTAAAGGGAAGGTGAAGCTAGAGAAGGAAGAATGGATTCAAGCAATGTATCAGAAAGCAGGAAGCCCATCCTTTTCCTGCTCAAACAACTAGTACTTTGTGTTGTAGATCATAGCAGCATGAATCCTTCACCATCCTCCCCTCTTTATCCCCTACTCTCTCTCTCTCTCTCTCTCTCTCTCTCTCTCTCTCTCTCTCTCTCTGAATCTGATGAAAATTTACCATAACAGTATGTTTCCTTTTGTGCCAATCCAATCAGTGTAGTTTTTCACCTATACTGTTGTTCTCTCTTGATATAATATAGACAAAGTGATATTATTCTATAAGAACACAGACAACCCTTGTGCTAATTAGCTTGTGTCTGCATTACTCAGTGCTTTTTGTATGTCCCTACAGTCCTAGATTCTACTGCATTTTGGGAGAGCCACATAGCCAATCAGGACCAGACATCTCCTTATCATCATTAGCTTATTCATCTCAAATTGCAGCAACCTGTAATGATCAGGAGGAGGATGGGATTTTAATCCATTTTGGTGGATATCGAATGGATACACAGCACAGTCAAGTCAAAGATGTGCAGTTTGGTGATGAGGCCTCACCAAAAAGCTCTGTGCCACTTCTACAAAGCTTAATTGGTGACAGGAACATCACTAGATCATTTGTTTAAGTGTTGTGTTGGTTAAAGGAGGCGTCGGTGAACCACTCAGGCTCATATAATATGTTCTATCCTGTTAGATCTCGAGTGCTCTTGTCAAAATTGTGAGTCATGTACCCATTGGAGTAGGAGAGCTACAGCACAGAATCAAAGGCTTTTTTTTGGGGGGGGTCTCTGTTTGATGTTGATGACAAGCTTGCTGCAGCAACACAAGAAGCAGTGTGTGATTTGGGTGGGATGATGATGTGTGTGGTTTGACAAAGAGCTGTTGCTGAAACACTTGTTTATGGTGCATCAAACAAATGTGCTCATTTGTTTCAGCAACAAATGGTAGGGATGACACCTCTCTCTGAACTTGATCAGCTCAATGGCACCGAGAAAGTTTATAATCATGAACAGTGCTATTCTTCACCTAAAAGAGTACTAGAGCCAAAGGTTTTGATTGACATTAAAATTGTTGAGACATGTTTTTATGATTTTAAAGATTTTGATGTACCATAAACAAAAGTGATATGATCATTATTTTTAGTTAATAGACGCTTAATACATGTAATCTAATCAATGTACCACACTAATTATCGAATATCACACAAAAAGCTCGCATCAATAAAATATTTGAAGAGAATATTCTCTTGTTAAATTAATGATTGTATACAACCATATTATTTATATATTATAGTTATATTTTTATTCTAAACTTAAGAAATGAATGCTTATAAACTTTTGTTTATATTTTTATATAAGTAGAATTGTAATATGTGACGGTCTTCTACTGTCGAAATATACTTGTTTATGTTTTTGTACAAGTAAAATAGTAATATGTGACGATTTTCTACTCTCGAACTAAAGTGAGACAAAGGATATAAATCTTTTCTTCTCAGCAGAATAGTAATATGTGACCGTCTTCTACTCTCGAACTAAAGTGAGACAAAAGGATATGAATCTTTTCTTCTCGGACACAGCAACACTCGAAAAATAAGTCATGTCAGATCAAACTCGCTGATGATTATATTTAATCATGTCGGTTGAATTTACCAATGGCTACAGTTAAAAAAATTGGTTAAAAATTCAAATTATACCCAAACAAATTTGACCAAAATAGTCCTGCAGATGGTGTTTCCTCTGTCACTCTAAAAAAATAAAGAAAAAGAAAACCAAGAACAAGAACAGCATTTGATGCATCATTCTGTAACATTCCAACGCTCAGTTGTGCCGTGGAGGTCCCATAGCCACCAGCCTACCATTGCGGTGTGAGACTGCTCATCCGAGGAAGGCCTTCTTTCCCATTATTGGAACAGTATGATCTGTTTGTCCAAAGATGGGCTCCAACATCGTCCCTTCCCCCATGCTTGCTGGCCACCACATGTTGGTGGCGAGGCTCTTTGATGGGATCATCTTTTTGACTCCACTCCACTCATGACTCTGTTGCCATGAGAGCAAAGCAAGAAGCTTCAACCTTCCATGTGCAATGCTGGCCTTTCCCCATAGGAGAAGCATGCAAATCCTTTGTTCCAACATTAAGATGCCGGTTAGGTCTTGTGACTCAGTGCTCAGCTTCCATCCTTTTCATCTGATCATCAAATTTTTTTAATGCATTCTATAACAAAGCATCATTTCACAATTATATATATTTTTTTATTTCTCGCTCTAAAACTAAAAATTCATCCATTCGTTATATTTTACATCGAACCACTTAGCCGATAATCCAACCGATAAACTAATGACTCGACGACGACGACGACGATTAGTTCGTTAACTATGCCTACGATCCACACGATAAATAAATGATTAGAAGAAACATCAAGATCGTCAGTCAATGGTCATGATCGATCCATCCATTTATATATAATTTATGTCACGCATAATTTAATTAGATAAACAAAGAGTTAATGTAAACAACCATATCAAAAAAGAGAATCTCCCCCCGAGATCTTGTCTGGAACATGATTTGGAGCCACACTGACACTATAATCTTAGTGCCGATGTCATAAGATTCGAAGGTTGACTAATTGCTCTTAATCAAATAAATATTACTTGCACTTGAGCCAGTATCTACACATAATTAAGAGCCAGTAGAAGGTGCTCCTGCCATCGGAGGCCAATCCACCGAGAGAAAGCAGTTGTTCTAAGAGATGCTATTGTCATCCGAATGAGGCCATCCATCTTGTGCTTGCAGTGAGAAAGAAGACAGGGGTTGAGTGCAACGAGGTGAATGTTAACATGGGGAGGAAGAAGACAGGGGAGGGGGCTAATCTAATCCATCATTCCTTGGATTTGTGCAACTGCCAAAAAGATCAACCACCAACCATGATAGATTCCCCCAATCCTTTGGTTGTCTCTTGGACCGATTCTTCATCATGTTCCTTTTGACCATGAGTCGAATGTTGCAAGTTCTCCAATTAAATTTGCACAGACTCAAGATTGATTTATTAGTTTCATGTTTACATGCGAGTTTAGTGGAGTTACACCTCAAACAAAATGGAAGGTAGAGAGAGGACGGGCCTCGGAACAATGATGAGATTATTTATTTGGGATGTAGGAGATTAAGATATAGGTCTCGAAAATAATCTTCTTTATGTTACATAAAGGTAAGATTGTATATATTCTCTCTCTAAAACCTACATTAATGTGAATGTACCTCCTCCTCGACTTAAATTATTAATCGAGTTTTGTTTGAATTTAGATAAAATAAAATTTCATGGGTATCTCACAATAGAAAAATTCTTGTGTTGAAATTTACTTAAATTTATTTAAAATTAAATTTAGATATTCTTTAATCAATTTTAAGATAAAATTGATGAAATATATAAATGCTTGAACCAAATTCAAGTAGACAACTTGCTCCATGATCATAGCCATTGTTGGAAGAACATGAACTGACTTCTTTATCCCTATTCACAGAGATATATATATATATATATATATATATATATATATATATATATATATATATATATATATATATATATATATATGTATATGAAGAAGGGAGATGATATCTTCTACGATATCTGTGATACATACATATATACATACATACATGACTAACTCAACCAAATAGTATCAACCTAATAGTCTCCGTGATACATTTGCAATCTGAACTAAGCTTTGGTTGGTCTGGATTTAGTTGACTTTTTGTAGCCCATCAAGTCAACATCGATATCTATATTTAGATGATAATTTAAGTTGAGCTTATTGGGTTTATAGGAGAATTAAAATGACACCAACACCTAACCAACTAATGTGGTATCCTTTTCTTATAGATCCAGAGTTAGAAATCATTACTATAATACCTTAGCATACGTCTATGATGATCGGATTTCGAGGTGTAATATATGCAATTGACATATTCTTAATACACATATCATAAGATAGAAATAGAGTAACTCACTCACATACAATATTCTCACATGATTGAGGATGAGTCTATTTTTGTTAGAATAAATAATGTAAGCCGTAAGGAACTCCATTTAGAAAATGCTTTTCCTCAAATTTGATATTACAAGTTATCTTCAATTAAAAGAATTAAGAATTGATAACACCATATTTACTATATCATCAAGGTTAAATGTTGTTTGGCAATCTTAGTGCCCACAAGCAGTAAACCAATGTGTATAAATGTTCTAAAAGAATAAACTGATGAAATTGTCTTCCTCAAGTTTTACAAGCATAAAAGGGCATGTACAGAAGAGAGAGAGAGAGTCTTGAAACCCCTCTCTTCAAGATTCTAAAGCTTGGCCAGAGTCACCAATTTAACCTCAGGAACTTAACACCTGCTTCTGAGGGAGTGCAATAGAACCTGCACCAAACAGAAGCCATGTTAGTTTCAGGAATCACATAAGGAAAAAGAGAGTTTTGCAACGGCAACAAGAAGCACCAAGATTTTCCATTACAGCTGCGAAACATCGCGAAACAACGACACGGTGGTCTCTTAAAAGGAGAAACTTAAGAACAACTCTGCATTCTGAATAGCCATTAAATCACTGTATCCTGCTGAACCAAACAGGTGATAATAACCTACAGGAGGCTGATAAATCTCTAGTCTAACAAGTATTATACTACCAGTCAGATTCCTTGAGAGGAATACAAGTACATGCAAAGACCGATTCACTTTTCTGATGAGTTCAACATATCAAATCTATTCCCTGAACCAAGAGATAATTACTGGAAGTTCTTGTTAGCAGTTTTTAATGGAGACAATTACAAGACCAAGTCTATCGTGCCGATTGGCATGTGTCAAAAGCACGCTAGGAAGGTAGCGGCACTGCCATCCTAAACACAAACCAAAAGTGGCGACATATGGCTAGATCATGAATCGCGTCCAACACGTATGGCAGAGAATCATACTATGTCAAAATGGTACAGAATAACCCTTTTCCATGATATGACAATCCTTGTCTCATGCATCTAGGCATGTTTCACAAATAAACCGTATTCCATCAAAATAAAAGAACACATGTGTACTAGCATTATCTTCAATAGCGAGAGAAATCAAAATTTTTCTACCAAAAATGTGAAACGGTG